AATACCCTGCATCTTCCTTCATCAACTAACTCTCTCTCCATCCCGGTCTATCAGTGGCTTAATGACGGTCAAGGCCAAAGGTTCTGACCTTCTCGATAGACTACCCACAACACATCTAGATGCTACATACTGCCCTGTAGTAAGTTTACTCCTGTGAATGGCCTATGACCCTTGGACGTGACCCTCGTCTATCTCAATATGCCCTCTTGCAAATGATGATCAACGGGAATGGACCGAGTTACATGACGAAGAAGTTGTCACTCTGATGCGAGATGTGAGTGGTTAATTAAAATCAATATGTGCCTGAAATTTACTGGGCCAGTATAGTACCCATTTGACTCCTACAGCTAGCTAATCTGGGTCTTTTGCTTTGACAGAATTCCATTCCTCTATAACCTGGTCCCTTAAGTCAAGTTTTCATCGAATACAGTGAGAAATATCCATACGGCCTCAGACACAACGGAGGCCAGTGGGGACCAACCCTCTGGTCCTCTTGGACCTCATCCTCATCTATTCATATGCCTGCGGAAAGGGACATCCCAGATACTCTGGCAGCCTTCTTCATCGTGACCTGGTTCACATCAAAACAAGGTATCAATCCTAAGCCCTCCCACACAATGGCCCTGGTTATTACTATGCAATGATTGCAAGTGATGATGATAATTCGGATGATCGTGTATGGAACCTACCATGTCATACAAAATTATTCCGATACAAGCTGTCACTAATTATGATGCACTTGCCATACTGCTCTCATGACAAAGGAAGAGATCACTAGCTAATCACGATAGTTTTCTATTCAGGTATATCAGACCGACCTAGCACGGGCTAGAAGTTGCAGGATTGCGTCTTGCATGCCTCGTTTCTCGAAAGCTCGAACACATTGTCTCTCGACAACTATCATTCTGGTAGGTACTACATACAATTCATTTTCAACACAACCATACTCCATTACTTCACTTGCACATGATGATAAATTTAGGCGAAGTTGAAAAGTCCATGTGAACAAACTTAATCTCAATCTGATCCAGGTGGAAGCAGCCTTTTTCTTTTTTTTCTTTCTTGAATGATACTTGAATTCAGCGACTTTAATTGAATATGGCAGGCTAACAAGAAATATTACAAGGTACAAGCATAGCCCACAGAATGTTTGAGCGCTCCAAATCTTGAAATATCCTGATATGCTTCCATGCATCATCCACTTTCAGCCCTCGGGGAATACTTGATTCAGAACTCTCAAATGATGATAAAGGCTTTGTTTCTGATACTCAGAATGTTGAAAACATCTAGCCATCTGATGTGAGAGGAACACAAGTCCCCGAAGCTAGATGATCCAGCAAAATCAATCTACCACTTGGATTCTCTTCTTACACAGCAGACTTGTAGTTTATTTGCAGATCAGAGCTGCAACAAGAGCAATGCCCGACGAGAGTTTGTGGATATGACTGCTACTACCAATATATTCAACAAGCACGAGGAATTGACTGAGATTATAAGATGCTTAACTGCCACCCTCTGATGTGCAAATTTCCTTGGGCTCAAGATATCTGATACACGAATCTGTCGATACAAGGCTACTTTGTACGTAGTGATAATGCGTAAAGTATGATGCGTAAAGTATGAATTGATGGAATAATACATTTAGATACAAAGTCATGAAATGCTGCGCAAATAGAAGAAAAAGTTCAAGCATGGCACGCTATTAATAACGCTGTGGGCCTCGCTGGATCGTATCATTCGCGCCATCCAGCGCGATGTGATCTCCCTCTTCGCCTTCACCTTCATAGTACCGTCGATCCCGAATGTAATACGGTCTCTCAACATATTCCCCAAGTTGTCTGTCCCTGAAGATACTGGGCTCGCGGCCTGGGCCAGTTGGTCGCACGCTCCCAACTCGCTGAACAACCTCATGCGAGTTTTCATAGTGAGGCTGTGGAGGACGAACACTGGCTGTCCGAATTATTCTCTCCTGGGGCACTCCACGCTCATCAACATAGACCGCATGACGAGGAATGTACTCCGCTACTTGTACACTGCTGCTGCGTGAGTAAGGTTCATGGCCTTCCAAAGGAGCAGCGTAGCCTTGTCTCTCATCGGCTGCTACGGGACGAGCATATTCAGACGTCACTCGCCTGTAGACAGGCTGGGGCGGGGGCATTTCTTGCACATAGTGTCGTTCACCGTAGGGGTCTTGCACAACTGAAGGCGCACGAACACTGCCCGCATGGTGGTGCACTCGTTCTTCATAAACATCCTTTGACATCCGAGAGACTGGCCGGGGTGGGGGCGGGGGCGGGGGTGCCATCGGCTGCAGTCTTGGTGCCTGTGGCAACTCGTAGTACTGGGTGCCATGCTCATCAACCACGATCCGACGTCGAGGAGGTGCCATCATCCGCATCGGCGGTGCCTCTTCGTAGTAAGCCTCCCGATATGTTGAGGGCAGCATGTCATCCGCAGCAATATAACGATGCTGTGTGTAAGGAGGGGCATCTTCGTAGTACCTTGGCCGCTCTTGCAGAGGGCGTTCCACCACGTATGATGCCGCTCGAACTGGGCGTGGCTGGGCCTCAATGTACTCACGAGCATAGTCTGATTGCCGAGCATACTGTGAGCTGGCGACTCGTCGAAGATCAGCTTCCTCCCGAATTGGCCGTCTGATGCTCAGACGAGATATTGTGCGCTGGGGCCCAACGTCTGATAGAGGCTCGTGGTACGGGTCAATCTCGTAAACTGGCTCTCGCACCAGCGGTCCGCGAGTTTCATATACAGGAGTGTATTGAGGGGACGCGATGTCAATGTAGATGGGGCGCTCTGCAGGGTTTCGGCTGCGAACAACCGTAGAATCATCGGCGAATGGTGGCGGTGAAACAGGCTCCTCTTTGATAAATGCCTCCACGGGTTCTGCATTTTGTGTCCTGTGCGACGTTTGACGGGGACCTTCATCGCCTTCACGCAGCCTTCTCCGTTTCCGTGACATGACCTGAAATGCCGGTGGGTTGGGACTGCCACGAGCAGAATCAAGGTCCGAGTACACCTGGTCAGAAGGACGTTCATCCCGGACTTGCTGGACAGAAGGAACCTTGGCAATTGCCAGAGGTGACACTCGAGATGGCCGGGGAGCTGCCGGTGATGTGATGTGGTTTCGAACTACCTTCACGTTTGTGGGAGACGGGGGCTTGCGAATATCTCGGGTTCGGTCGGGGTATCTGGCATCTAGCCTAGATGTTCTTCCAGCACCAGTTTCTAACCCACGGGGATGTTCGCGATGATCCGCTGGCGGCGCTGCTGGAGCTGGTGGAGAATATTCGGGTTCGTCCACTATCTCGGACCGATGCGAATCGCGGAAGCGGCTGACGGGAGCCTCTGCTTTATGGTAGCGGCCCTGCTTCTGAGAATGGGATTGACGCTGGTCAGCAACAAGGTAAGCATCTGGCATTTCCTGATCAGATCCAGGACGGTTGAGAGCTTCAAGTCGCTGCAACTCATCTGCATAATGGGTTACCGGACCACGTGCGGCAGTTCCTGTAGGTGCAATTATAGCCACGGGGGATGACTTTTGTTGCCCGCCAGTATGCGGAGGCGAGTCGGGAGCTCTACTGGAGTAAAATGAATTGTCGTCGAAGGAATCACTGGCAGCACCGCCAGGTCCACTGGCCTCAGATGCATCGCTCAGCGAGACTGGTTTCACTGCCTCAAGAGCTTGTTTGAAAACCTCCGAGACATCAAAGTCGGGCTTCGTGTCTTGAACCGCAGGTCTCTGTTTGGTCTCTTGTTTCTTGGACTCCACTTGATCACGCAGCGCTCTTTCCAATCTCTGCCTTTGTAACTGTAGTTCCGCCCTGATTAGGTCATCCGACTTGGTCAAGAAGATAGGATCGATCTCGGATGTAGGTTTTGAAGCCACACGGGCGGGTTGTGATGCTGCAGGCAAGGCGTTTCTGGCCGCGGCACTCTGCGAGCTATTGTAAGGCTGTTTTGTGGTTGTAACCACAGGCGTATTCGCCAATACAGCTGTCGGAGGGGGATTTTTAGGTAAATGAGTTTGGAGAGGGACATTTTGGACATTTCTCCCAGGCTTGCGCACCAAGTGCTGGGGAACATTGAGCCGAGGGTGAGTGCCCGAGAAGACTTGGTCATTGATGGCTAAGATTTTTTCGTACTCCCGTACCTCATCATCCAGTGTAGAGGCTGAAACAGCCATAGGACCTGCTGGAAGGTGAGTTGTTGGTCCATGAGTCGCGGCCATGGTCATTGGGAAAGCTAGGGAAAGGGATCGGTAAAGCTAGAACAAGATGAGAGAGACTGGAAGCAGATATGTCTAAAAACGCGTAAAACACACGTCAAATATCCACTCAGTCCAATCTACGATTGAGAAGGCTCCGAGGATTGGATGGAAAAGCAAATGAAGTGTCGTAAAAAGTCCACCATGCCGGCCGTCAGGGCGCTAAATCCGATTATGTAAGGTCGCGGATTGCTGCCCAGACACCGGGAACATGAGGGCGCTAGTAAGAAGAGGAAGCCGATCTTACTTTACTTTCTCTTTGACTTATGCATCGGTTATTTGCGTTATCTTCCTGTTGGCTTATTAGACCTATCGTGACCTCGTCTAGACTTTCACCTGCTTATCTACCCCTGCGATTTCCTAATTCAAGATCGATGTCAACCAACGCTGCCAACGGAGTCAGTGACTCACGGCCGGTCTTCTTCTTCGATATTGACAATTGTGTAAGTCAAGAGAGGTTAAATTCAACATTGTGGTCTCTAATTACTATGTGCTCCTACAGCTCTATTCTAAATGTTGGTGCTCTTGACTTCCGCTCTCTATGAGCTACTATTAACAGAGCGTCCCTCTACGCAGCTTGCAACATCCACGATGAAATGCAGGTATTGATCAGTAAGTGAAGCCAACATAGTGTGCTAGACCATCTTACTAATAAAGTAAACTTTTGCTAGATGTTTTCTTTGTCAAACATCTCGACCTTACACCGGAAGATGCCCATATGCTACACCAGAAATACTACAAGGAGTATGGACTGGCCATTGAAGGCCTTACCCGCCACCACAAGATCGACCCGCTTGCCTTCAACTACGAGGTTGATGATGCTCTACCTCTTGACAATATCCTCAAGCCTGATCCCAAGCTGCGCAAACTGTTGGAAACCCTGGACACAACAAAGGTGAAACCATGGCTGCTCACGAACGCATATATTAACCACGCAAAGCGTGTGGTGAAGTTACTCGGTATTGAGGATCTGTTCGAAGGTATTACCTATTGTGACTATGGAATCTTGCCCTTGGTGTGCAAGCCTGGTCAGGACATGTACGCCAAAGCAGAGAAGGAAGCTGGTGCTCCAAGCACGGATCAGTGCTATTTTGTTGGTATGTCACCCTCCACTGCATGTCTGGACCTTTTGAACTCTTCATGCTAATAAGGCCGAATCAGATGATTCACACCTGAATTGCGTACATGCGCATGCTCGGGGATGGACTACCGTTCACCTAGTCGAACAAGGTACCCCCGTACCACACAAGCCGGCTTCGAAGCACACGATCTCTAGCCTCCAAGAGCTCCCGGTACTTTTCCCCCAGTTCTTTAAACAGTGAGGAGAAAGCGGTGATGCTTAGATTTAGACCTGGCTACGACACTCTTGGTTTATTCCCACTAGACTTTTGGTTTACAACTATGAATGTATATTATTATGGGCCTATTTATATAGGACGTACAACATTAAGGGATTTGGATTATGCGAAATTAAACCAGGGCTCAAGTCTGCTATAACAATACAAAGAAGCCATTAGCCGTAGTTTGGATCAATAATGCGTGTAGTAGCGATTGATCTACATCGTAAATTGAAAGTTCCTGCCTCAGGCAGAAGATAGTCACTTGACGCGCTCCGCTGGACTCAGGAGTTGCCGTGTTTCTGTCCTCCCAACAACCAGAACTTCTCAACTATCGCTCAAGAGCTCATTGTAGCTCTTGAATCCACTCGACATGTCTGGCCATGCCTTATCTGTAGGCACGGTGATTGAGCTGCCCGATGGACGGCTAGCAACAGTGCGCTTCATTGGCAACACCCATTTTGCGGACGGACAGTGGATAGGCCTTGAATTAGATGAAGCTACCGGCAAAAACGATGGCGCAGTCCAAGGCGAACGGTATTTTGATTGCTATCCAGGACACGGCATGTTTGTCCGCCCAACAGTGGTTGTTAAGATTGTCCAGCCCGAGCCGGAGAGTAAACAAACCGCCAAACTGGCTAGCAGCGCCGCAGGTAGCAAAGCGCAGCCTAAACCTGGGATCTCCACTGGTATGCGCAAGCAAACTGGGCTACCTCCTACAGCAGCAAGGCGACAGAGCAGCAATGCAGGCTCCACTCCTACTCCGGTGCCGAAGGGTGTGGCCGCTCTCCGAGTATGTCATGTCCTACGAAGGCGTTCCGTTCCATTATGCTAACCTATAATTCTACTCCATTTAGTCCCCCACAAAGTCCCCAACGAAACAGCTCGCAACGACTGCGAGCCGCCCGTCCATCGGGAGTGCTTCCCGCACCTCTACAGTGGCATCTAATCGACCACGACTAGCTCCCAGCACCAGAAGCCCCCCGGGTCCTTCTCCAACACAACCAGCAGCCTCTAGAGGCTCACGGCCCTCGGTATCTGGACCAGCAGTCCGATCTTCGAGGCCAGGCTCCCAAAGTGCCGTTGCTTCATCAACCCCGGGATTGACAAAGCGTCCTTCACTACGGCAGGTTAGCAACACAAAAGCATCGGATGGAGGAGACGCGGCCATGAGTGGGGGATCCGGAGATCCAACCGAGACCGAGTCGCCTGACACTGACGGGGAGGGTGCACAAGACGGACTCACCGGGCCGAAGACCTCTCGACAGTCGATGACTGCTACGCGACCTGCAGCCTCGCGTCCTGGGGCCCCGCTCTCTGCATCTCAACGCCAGGGGCAGAGCAGTGCAGTTAATCGCGAGCTCGAAGAACTTAATGCCAAGCTCAGAATAATGGAAAAGAAACGAGCCGACGACAAAGAGAAGTTGAAGACCCTCGAGCAACTCCAGGCTGAGCGTGATAAATTTGAAACGATCATCCAGAAACTTCAAGCCAAGTATCAACCGCAGCAAATGGAAGTCACCGAGCTGCGCAAAAAGTTGAAAGAACTTGAGGCTCGTTCCGACGACGTGGAACGCATGCAGGCGGAGCATGAATCGCTCATGGAAATGGCTACTCTTGACCGCGAAATGGCAGAGGAGACAGCGGAGGCATTCAAACATGAGTGCGCAGCGTTACGATCAAGGTTGGACGAGCTGAATTTGGAGGTGGAGGTTCTCCGAGAGGAGAATGAAGAATACAGCCAGGAGACCACCCCCGAAGACAGAACCACTCATGGATGGCTTCAGATGGAAAGAACCAATGAACGTCTCCGCGAGGCGCTCATTCGTTTAAGAGATATGACTCAGCAGCAAGAGTTAGACCTCAAGTCTCAAATCAAAGAATTGGAGGAGGATCTCGAGGAGTACGCTACCGTCAAATCTGATTACGAGGCTGCAAAGGAGAGAATTTTGGTCGCTGAGACCAATGTCGATAATCTTAAGCAGCAGCTGGAGACAGCACTGGGGGCGGAAGAAATGATTGAAGAATTAGCAGACAAAAACATGCGCTACCAGGATGAGATTAATGAGCTGAAAGCTGCCATCGAGGATTTGGAATCTCTCAAGGAGATTAGCGATGAGATGGAGTACACCCATATCGAGACTGAGAAGCAACTTCAAGAAGAAATTGAGTACCGAGAGAGTGTGTTCAGCGACCAATGCCGAAAGATAACGCAACAGGACGAAGTTATCGAGGACCTTGAATACACATTAACTCGTTTCAGGGATTTGGTGACGAACTTGCAATGTGACTTGGATGATATGCGCACGACAAAGCAAGTTTCGGAGGCAGAGACCACCGAAAATGCATTGCGCCACCGCCAGATGCAAGATTTGAATATGAAACTCCAGGCCAATCAATCGAAGGCCCTGACCAAATCTATCGATGTTGAACTGAACCGTATGGAGTCCGAAGAAAATGCACAGCACCTTTCGATGATCAAGCTCTATCTTCCGGAGTACTTTGAAGGGGAAAAGAATTCTATTCAGGCTTTGCTTCGATTCAAGCGCGTCGGATTCAAAGCCAATGTCATGAGCAGCACTCTACAAGATAAGGGATCTGAGCACTCAGTAGTCGCCAACGAGGAACTTTTCCAAGCTCATGTGGTTTTGGAATATCTTATGTGGATTTCAAACGTGTGTGATCGCTTTGTGAACTATATCACAGCTTGCTCGCCAGAGGAATTTGCCAATATCAAGATCGCAATGTTCGAAATGGAGCCAGTGGAGCGCATGTTGAACTTCTGGATTGAGCCTATGAAGAAGGACGAAGTGAATCTTGCAAAGTTTGCAGTGGAATTGCAGCGGTCTATCGCTCTCCTCGCACACCTTGCTGAGACCCTTCTTCCTTCCAGCTTGGAGATGTTTGCCGATGAGCTGTGTATGCGGGCCCATTTGTCTCAATCGTACATTGAGCATTCAGCCGGTGCAATCACACGCGTTAAGCTGATTATCAGCTCCAAGATGGTGGCCGCGGCAGAAGGCGACGAAGAAAACCTGATTTCTCTGAATAAATTGGACACTTTCGCCTCTCAGGCCCGCGGATACAAAGTTGCGATGGGTAAGATCAGCCGGTCTCTTGATGATCTGGGTTCTAGGTCACTTGCGCTCCCAAAGGACGCCGAAGAACCGTTCAAGAAGATAGAGAATGAAACCAAGCAACTTTCAGAGTTTGCTCGAAAGCTCGGCGAGAACCTTGTTGTCCTCACCAGTGATGAAGGTCGCACGCACCCATTCAGCCCGGAGGAGATTCTGGACTGCATGTCCCAGGCTGCCGTGTCCTTTGCCTCGTCCTCCGAAACCTTGGATGAAAGTAACGACCCTATTTCATTGCTATTTACCAGATTGCAGCAAGTAGGCGACCAATTTGAGGAGCTGGATACCATCTCATCAGATCTGTCTCGCACAACAGAGTTCGAGAGAGCTGCATTCCCCTGGGTCGCTCGCGCTGCAGAATTGAAGTCCAACAAAATGACATCCCCGGATGCAGACGAGGAGATTCGCCAGTTGAGAAATGAGATTCACGAAGCGTCAGCCGCACTTGGAGTCAAGGACAATACCCTTGAAGAACAGGGCCTAAAGATCGAGCATCTTGAATCAAGGATGCGAGAGGCAAGCAAGAAGGCTGCCATGGTCAAAGAACTCGAAGCCAGAATCGAGGAAATCCAGAAAGCAGGGAGTGAACTCGAGAAAATAGTTGAGCAACAAAAGAAGGAGCTTCAGACAGCCGAAGCAGAGCGAGACGAGTTCATGGCTCGTCTTGATCGAATGAAGCGCATGTCTGGAACAGTAGGTCTGACGCCCACGGGCAACAGCGCCATCATCGCTAGTGAGGCCTCTTTGGCTGCCATGAACGAGAACGAGTCTCTCCGCGCTGAGGTGGAAAGCCTCCAAGCAGCCGTGCGTTTCCTGCGCGAGGAAAACCGCCGTTCGAACATCCTCGACCCATACTCCGTCCAGCGATCTAGTGAAATGCATGCATGGCTTGACGCGCCGCTCGTGCGTGTCAAACCAACCCCCGAACAAGAAAAAATCCAACGCACTGCTCTCGAAAGTCGGGATGTCATGACCCATCTTCTCAAACTGACAAAAGAGTCCCGTGTCCCCGATCTCAAGTCCACGATGGCTATTCCAGGTAGTGACGGCAATGAGAAAGCGGGTCGCGCTGCTTGGCGCCCGTCCAAGACCCGCCTCCGTTATCAGGTACTCCAGCAGCGCGAAAACTTCGAGCACTGGGCCGAATGGCGCGACGAAATTGTCAATCACGAACGTGAACAGGACCGTCTGGCCGCCGCCAAACAAGAGCGCACCATGCGTGATCGCGTCTCCAGGCATGCTCACAAGGCTTCTGTCGAATTTCCCCAGGGCTCAGGCCATGGTATGATGGGCCGTGCCTGGGAGATTCTCGGCATGCAAAAACCCCGCAAAATCGGCCCCATAAGTACTTCCCCGGACGGTGTGGAGATAGTCACGGACTAAAGCTTTGATCTCGTATGAAAGCTAAGACGTCGATCTTTTGTTGTACATAACATTCATCCTTTCTTTTAACTTGTGCCTCATTTGTTTTTCTGACAGCTATATTGTCTTTTTTGAGATACCCTACAGAAATAGCTATCGTTAGCCTTTGTGTACAATTGACTTATTTCCAGACATCGTGGTTAGATGCCATGTGTGTTAGCCTGGACCTTGAAATCTGTGTTTCTGTTGCATAATTGTTCTTCTCCCTAGTAGAATGCTTAGTATAATCATTTTCTAACTGTTAAAGATCCCATGTAGTCATATCCAGACCGTTTTCATTATTACTTCCTACATAAGCTATGTATGTACCACGGTTAATCCCCTCAAATAGCAACCTTGGAAAGAACTAACCAACTGGAATCACAACGGGGTATTCCAACGCGCATTAGAAATAAATGAAGTCCAAAAGGAAATACCCAACAAACATCCAAGAAAAACTAAAATTTTAACAGGAAGAAAAGAAAGAGACCGGGTAACTCATTATCAAAATCTCAGAATGGCCAAAAGTGTCATCTTCAAAGAAAATCCGACAACTCAAAACGCCACCCCAATACCAGACTCGTGGTACCGCATAGGTCCATTGTCATGATACGAAGATAAGTGATGGTGCTGTTGCTGGTCCTCGAAGATGGTCGGGTAGCAGACACCAGCGTCAAGATCCTTTTCTGTAGCAGACGGGAGGACTTGGAATGAGGTGCGGGGAGTAATAGCACTAGAGAAGGCACTAGAGATGGAGCCATTATTCCGTGTTCTTGGGCCGCCGGTGAAAGTCGTAGTACTAGTCGAAGCCACTGTGGTGCCACTCAGCGTGCGGGTTCGCTCCCAATTAAACCCTTTCTCGCCGGGCATAGAGGCTTGCCTGGGGAACGGAGAGGAGTTGGTGGGTGTAGGGCACATCCATTGAGTTACGCGGTTGGAAAGAGAGAATGGGATTGTATCGATTGAGTCTCGGTTCTTGGGAAGTGGAATCGAGGGACGGCGCAATGAGGTTTGTGATATCATCGTGCGCGAGCTGGCTGACGAAGGACTGTCCTTGGACATTGCCGAGTACTTGGATGGGGATGTATCCGGCGAGTCTCTGTGCACACTGTTGGATGCAGGTGGAGTCCGAGGTACTCTGCCCCAGGTGGTGTTTGCGTCGTTTGGCCATCGGGTGTTCGACGTAACCTTGTTGCCTTCTGATTTTGACCTGCCGTGGATTGGAGATGCTGCCTGAGCTTCTGGGAGAGGTTTCTCGGTGTGAATGACCTTGGAGAAATGTGGCACCAGGGTACTAGTGGCGCGAACGGGTTCTTCGACGAGCAGGGACTCCATATTTCCAAGTGATCGGCGTTTCTGAGACCCGACTGGCTTGCGAGAGACTACAAATGCTTTTTGGCAATATCGATCACGAACGTTGGTCGGAGTCGTGAGGGCACGAGGGGGTACCGGCAGCGTCTTGCGCTGAGGGCTCTCGTTTAGTTGGAAGGTTTCGAATGAAGGTAATTCAGACAATCGATTACCTGATCGATGAATGCGGAGATCCAATGGTTGATAGGTTGGTGGCGGAGGAGAGTTGAATGAATGTGGGTGACCGTGGAAGGATTGCACTCTGCGAAAGTCTGAAGGCGCGCTGATCTTCAACGGGGTAGTTGAAGAGCGTTTCAAAGACATGCTTGCCCGGTTAGAGGCTCGCGACGCCAAGTTCCGGCTGTCGTTGAACCATGATGACAGTGAGTTTCGAGATTGATGGACACTTGGACTGGGGAGGTTATCGTATACCACCAGCTTCATAGGTGGAACAAGGTGTGGCTGAGTATGGCATATTTTCATCTCCCGTTCAACGCCTGGGACGTATATTAGTCCATCGAGTCTAGATTTTTGACGTAGTCGGACACATACCGTTCCCAGCTTGTCTAGGTTGACAACCATCGTCACCAGGTAAAAATGTAAAGCATGATCGTATCCAGCCAGTGAATAACGACCCCGCCCTCTCCAAAGCCAGCATGATGGCGACCAGCGCGAGAAATCAATCCATCACCTTGAAGGGAAAGAAAGGAGAAAACAAAGGAAAGGAACGAACCAGTTGCACAGGCAATCAAATCAGCCCCTCAGACGGGATGGGAACATCCATCATATAAGCCCAAAGATGAGCGCCTTACCCAACCCGTCCAGGTACATATCATCGTGGCACTAGTAACCGGGGTCTATGCCCAGTAAAGACATGCACGCCGACGCCAGCGCATTTAGCAGCATTGATCGTCGGTAGCAGAGCTGATCGAAGCACTACTATTCGTTGACGTCTAGTGGGGTTATCACATCTGTGCTTATTATTTTGAGCTACACCCTCTCAAGCCTATCAAGTCCAGTTTTGGTGTGATGAGAAAGTCGGGCGCTTACAGAGATTGGAAAGGATAATTCTATCTCTTTAGAATTTCTCGGAGTTTCATAATGTTTTCCTTTCTTCTGTTCCATTTCGAAGGATATGTACAGAACACAGATACAAACATATCAGAACCGAGAATGAGCAAATGAGTAAATAAGGTAGATGATCATAATCCGAGATGAATAAAAAGACAGAGTACACCATACACCATAGAACGCGCACTATTTGCCCCAAACATTGTCCTGCTCTAGGTCGTCGTAGGCCCATTTGGGCCGATCTTCGTCATGATTGGTCTCCGGCTGTATCGAGTTGGCTTCAGCCTCTTCTTCGATTAGATCTTCACAGGGTCTTCTGGAAATTGGAGCCGGGATTAATAACTCTGCTCTGAAGCCTCTAGGGTCGCTATGCGCGATTTGGCAACTTACGAGAATCGTCGAGTTTCAGGCTCTGCCCAGGCAGAGCCATACTCTCTCTGTGTTTGGGCTCGAACTTCTTCTTCAGCCTCTGTATTCTCCACCACAAGGTCAACCAGCTGGCTGCGCTGCGTACCGCTAGAACTGGTGGAACTGACGTTTCGCTTCAAGGGACCGGGAGTCGCCGAGCTTGGGCCAGCTATTTTGGACTTTGGCTTGTGACTTTGCCTACTCTCACCATTTGACGCGCGACTTTTCCTGTGCCTATGGGCCTTTTTGAAATCTGCCCCTCGGTTTGAATCTTGATTTCTCCGCGAGGGTGGCAGCCGTTGGTCACTTGGCACCACGTTCGCGGTAATCACCGGGTACTATGCGCGGTCAGCATTGCAATCACGACCACCCTGTATCAGCGTAACTCACATTCCAGTCTCCATATTCTAGTGCGCGAGCATTGAGGAATATTCGCTCATCCTCGTCGTCCAGTGCGGTTTCATCAATTTCACTGTATGATCGGATTCTCTCTCTGGAGGTTTGACTGGCCCGTTTATTTCTGGGGCCGCGCTGACTAGATTCGCCGCCCAATAGAGGCGTGCGGCTGTTGGCTTCACCCGGTTCTGGGATCCAATATTTTGCCTTACCTCCACGCTCATATCTCATGCCGGCCATTACTCGCTTGACCCGCGACCCTGACTCCTCATGCGGGATGATATTATCACCCGAGTCAAACAGCCGATATCCGTAATTCTTACCGCGAATGGTGAACTTGGTGTCTTCAACCAAATCTCGCACGCCGAATGCGTCGCGCAGCGCGTATTTTACGGGCATGCGCGCAGCTGAGATGGTCGGGTCCGCATAGTCATGCCACGAAAATGCATACCAATGAGCCATAGCGAACAATGGCATCTCAAAGCAGATAAGACTGTCCTGAATGGCCGCCGCAAGGTTGTCGGGGGTGTACCCAGCAACACTACCAAGCGCTCCCAGCCACTGCAGGATCGACAAGAAGAAGCCTTGCCAATATGAGGCGAAAATAATGAGTTTGACGCAGAGAAATTTGGGGACTGGGCGGAATGGCGCGAGGTCATCATGCAGACACACCCAGAACATGGCAAGGGAATAAAGACTGATTGTGACGCTGATATTATATATGATACCTGTCCAGAGGTATCCAGAGCTCAGCCCAATATAGCCCTCTTGATATGTATCGGTTGCCTTCATTATGATGGAGCCGAGAGCCAGAATGGGCTTCAACCAAGCGTACTGCAGGATACCACGTTTGACAGCAAGGAAGGTTTGGGGATCCGAGATGTCAATCTTTGGGAGGAAGTGATTGAGAGGCCAGGCATGGGAGATAGGAGGGCGGCCATGAGCCATGATGATCACAGCCCGCTCGCCGCCGAGGAAGTTGATGAGGAGCTGAAAGAAGGTATAGATGGTGAACGCCTGCCAATGCCATTCGTTAATAAGGGCTTATCGGACAGTCGGCCAGAGCCCCACATACCTCGTAGATGTCACGAACAGGATCTAGAAACTGTGCCGCCCTTAGCGATATGATGCTCGTCCATGATGATACTGCGTAAATCGGGACCCTAAGTTCAATCAGCACTGCTTTTTGCCCTAGCCCCCTGAGCTGATACTCGAGTCAACACTAACATCAACAATATGCGCACAACGTAGCGTTGGAGTAAGGGTTTCCGGTAGTTTTTGCTATATATATGGTGAGCCACGGTTCTCGAATTTGGACGGTATAAGCTCGTACGTTTGAAACCATATGGACCTGTGGTTTGAGACAACACGTTAGCCGGGGAGTTTACAACGAGCGCGACCATGAGTTAGGTCGAAAAAAGATTGGATAGACTGACACAAAGGACAAGAGAGAGGAAACCAAAGCCGAGACACCTGTGACAATGATAATTGCTCGTGCTAGGCTGGAGCCTGTTCCTCCGCTAGCTGCGGTCGTCATGATTGCTGAGATTTAGGGGGAAACACGGTTTAAGGACCCCTTTCTGCCTACGGAGGTAATCCAGCTCATTCCGCAGAGTCGATAGAGGGGCAAAACATGTTAGTCAAGACCGAAATGGGGGGAAAACAAGCTAGAGAAGCGTTAGTTCGGAATGAGGAGGCGTGTTATCCGATGACGATCCTCGCGTGACACCGCTCTCGGTCTTCCTTATCAACGTCCTCATCTTGCGACTTCCACGATATTTGACCAGCCACTTTGGTGTCGATGATTGAGAGGTCAATTTTGGCTCGTCATTCGCGTTCTATCGCGCCGGCGCTGTCCATGTTGACAGGCGGAGAGAGATGGGTAGTACAAGTTTGACATCGACCTTCCTGACGCCGGATCCAAGCTTCAATTGGTATGGAATCGCTGCTTGGACTGCTTAGATCATGGCTGTTATACTGATCGATTTAGGTTCTTTCTCTTGGAACTGATTGTCTCTTGCATTCTGTAAGTTTGCCCTATTCCAACTTGACTGGATTACGCTGATCACCGGTATAGCGCTCTGTTCTTTTTGCTCTACTTCAACCGACTCTTCGCGAACCTCATATCCTACGCGATTCGATCATACACATGGCATTACTACCGCGCATATGTTGATATAAACGCACTTCAAGTCTCCCTACTTGGTGGGAGAATCTTCTTCAAGGGCATTCGGTACCATGGGGTGAACGAGACCATCTTTATTCATGGAGGATTCATAACATGGCGCTATTGGACGCGTACAGTCGAGCGAAATGATTTGGCCGGGATTCGACGCAAGACAGGTCTTGCTCATCATATCTCAAGGGAAGAAGCGTGCCCGCGCGATGCAACGGACGACAATCTGGGGGAGCAAGGTGGCATGGGAAAGACGACCGACTTGCCGTGCCGGATTACTATCAACACATATGGCCTTGAATGGTTCATCTACAACCGGACACCCGCCTATGACAGTATCCTTACTGGGTTTGGATACTCTCCTAAAAATGTTGATTTAGACGGTGACAATTCAAATCCGCCAGGATCTCGCGGGGCGGCAGAAAACGGCAACGAAAGCAACGCCTTTGATTTTAAAGATACGCCTGGACATCGGCCAACCATCGAACCCTTGTCACAGCGCAGCACGGGTGAGAGGAGCGGAGTTGCGTCGCAAAAGACTACTATTCGTGGATCAGAACTGTCGGATCCTGTGTCCAACATGTTACAACTCCTGCCTATGAAGCTGGATTGCCAGAAAGGAGCCATTGTCATCGGGAATGAGCATACTCGATCTGTGTTGACAACCACGTTCGACACTGGAATGGGTACCATCGACGCTTCCAATTCAGGCCCTCTTGATTTGTATCGTCAGATAATCTCATTTCAAGTAAAAAATGCAGTGGTTCAAATGCGGCCAAACCCGGACTTCAAGCAGAACCAATCGGCGACCGCCAAAGATCTAGGTGCGCAGCAAGAGAAAGACCACGCATCGAAGAAAAGACCGCAAAATATCTTCAACTACCAATTCCAGAGGCGCAGAGTATGGCACAGTATTCGAGACTTGGTCCCATATTTCCAGACATCTGTCGAATCGTTCCATGACGATCGCAGACACGCCAACAGTATGCCGAGGAGCCAGGCAGAGTTTCCTGAGGTCCGCTGGACCGGTCTCTCTCGGTATCTGGACGAAGATAGTGGGGATGACCATGAGAAGTGGAACTCAGTCGAATATGCCAGGTTCTCTACCATCGTGGATAGCCCCATGCTGAATATAGCCTACTTTTGGGACGTCCCTGGACGAGTCATTATTCAACCAACGTCAGCTGCTAAGTCTCAACCAATGGATAGCAATATCAATTATGCTCCTTCTCCCGAGTGGGGGATTGACCTCAAGATTCACGGCGGTACGATAAATTACGGACCCTGGGCTGATAGGGAGCGGGTTGGCCTGCAGAATGTCTTTTTTCCAAACTTCTATCGCAATGCTGAGCCCACAGAGAAACTAGCACCAGGTGCTCTGCGACAAAGCACGGCATTTAGATTGCGCATGGAAATCAATAGGGAATTGACATTGCGTATTCCGACACGAGAGCCTTCCAAGGATTGGCAATGGAAGGGTCGTGCTGATGCCGTTGGGGGTGCATCGAGAACAAAGAGGCCAAACGAACAGAAGACTACTCGAGCTAAAGAAGGTGAAAAAGGCTACCTCGGCCCTGAAATTCGCCCGTTTGGGTGGCTTTCCCTTTGTGTTGGCGCCGACTCTACCATCAACTATACCATGGATATGGTGGGATCCAGCACAGGGTTTTGCAATGAACTTTCTATCGACTTGCGAGAGTCAAGATTATCATCCAGCATAAACCATGGCTTGCTTTGGCAATGTCCTCGGCAACAGATTACTTGTGATCTATCCAACCCACTTTCCTGGAATGGTCTTCGCCCCTGGAAATTTACTGCCGAAAACCATGACCTACAGCTGTTTCTCCTACGTGATCACATATTCCTTCTCACAGATCTTGTAAGCGATTGGGCTTCGGGACCGCCTTCGGACTACTACTCATTTGTACCTTTTATTTACAATCTCGATCTCAATTTCTCCGACTTCCAACTTTACATCAACGTCAACGACCGAAACATTATCAGCAATCCTTCTGATTTAGAGGACAACCGATTTCTTGTTATCAAAGGCAAGCGCCTGGCGGCTAATGCCATGATACCATTGGACAAATACCAACCTGAACAAAATGCCATCGACTTCAGGGTAAACCTTGAAGACGGCGGCGTGGACTACACGACTCCTTTGTGGGATACCTTGCATGAATTTTTACCGCAAAAATCCATGGCCACTCTCGAGAATTTGTTCATTGACGGCTCCTATAACTATTTCCAGTCAACATCTCCGGAACTGACTGACACGCTGATGCTCAACGTCGATGGAACTTCACCTCGTCTTTACCTTTTTGGATTCTTGATCGAGAGTTTCATGACAATCAGAGAAAACTATTTTGGCGAGGAAATGCACTTTAGAACACTTGAAGAATATCAAGAGCTAGTCTATGCCGACGAGCCACCGTCAAATCCGACAGGCACCAACCCAAACCGAAAGTCAAATGACATGGATGTGCTCGTACGCGTCACGGTTGACAGCCCCCGTGCCTTGCTTCCTGTGAATATCTATGATCACTCAAAGTGCATGGGACTTAGCGCAGCCTCCCTCGAAGCGAATTTGCGTTTTACTAACTACTATATGGATTTGCAATTTTCCATCACCCCGGTGAAAATTGATTTGGGGACCACTGAACTGGATGGCCCTTCCACTATCTCTAGCACTCAGCTGTTCATCGATGGGGTTTCGGTTTACGGCCATCGTCTGTTTGGTTTGCCCCCGCTTGAACCAACATATGTTTGTAATTGGGATTTTGATGTCGGTCGAATTGTCGGAGAATGCTCCACCGAGTTCTTGGCCTGTTTGGCTTCATCTTTGAAGAGCTTTGATTTCTCGTTTGACAACGAGGAAAATGCGTTGCCAATGCTTTTCCCGGAGCTTCTATTTGACGTGACTTTCTTGAGGGCCAAGGTTGACTCAATTCATATTTCCGTGCTACTAGACCAGACAGCTGTGATTTTGAGCACACAGCCTTTGAATGTGAACTTCAATGATTGGGCAAACACCAAATTTTCGAAACGCATGAGTCTTCTCGTTCCGGATATCTCAATCGCTGCCGTTGATCGCCAATCTGTCTCTCAATGCAATCCATCAGCGGGAGAAAAAATGTTATCTCCCATAGGACTTTTCCAGCTCACAATTGGGCTGAAGTTGGCTTTACGCAAATCCGATATTGCAGAAAGTCGACGACTTCAGCAAGAACATATCAGAACCCATGATCAACGTACTCACAGGGCACAATGGTTGCTTTTTGACTGGGAAGAGACTGGGCCAGCTTCAACCATTCCTTCTGACGACGACGTATTCCCTCCAACTATGGCCATACCTTCAATGCCTGAGCCTATTCATGACAGGATTGGCTCTGTTGATGCACCATCATATCAAAGAGCTTCAGGTCCTCGTACCACTAGAAGTGCCAAGAGCTTTTTTGTCCAGTCAGAAGCATCAAGTATGAAGAGTGTCCGGATACACACTGTCAACAGCCCCAGAGCAGCCTCGAAATCTATTTCCAAATCGCGGCCTTTTCTGCCTACCCGAGGATCGAGCGCGTCCGTCTCGAAAGCCAAGCGGTCGAGAGATGGACCAAATTACGGGTCTCGGGTAGGCGCATCCTCGCCTTCTACGACAAGAGACGCAAATCCGTGGATAATGCCACAGTTTTCGTACTACAAGCTTCATCTGGATACATCCGAACTTCCATTGCCATTTGCGGATGAGGATGACACAATGAGTGAAGACTCAAGCATGAATCAAAAGTCCATGTTTCTCACATTTGATGACGATCAAACGAAATACATAAACCTTGCGTGCAACCTCCCCCTCGGGATCCGAGGGTTTTGTACACCCGAATTCCTTCTAAGTCTAGCTACTTTACTGGATGGGTTGGAACCAAAGCATCCTACGCGAATCATTGACTCGCTTCAAAAGGATGTGATATCGTCCATCGTTGGCTATGACAATGCAATGAGCAAACCGAGAATTTCAACAGCTGTCTCTCTTTATGTTCCATCTATTCAATTACGACTGATTGACCTGTCTGCGGCTCCCAACAACAATCAGGTCGAGTTCCGAGATGAATACAGCTTAGATATCCGTCGTCTGCATACTGAGTTCCGAAGAAAGGTTCAACGTCAGAAAGGTGATTTACTTGAAGGTCTCAAACAAGGTGTAACGGTCCATGCGGCAGCGGATTATGTTTCAATTTCTATCGAGGGTAGACGCGCAGATTCTTTCCATGAGAAAGCTGTGTTTAACTCACACATGGAAGATATGAATTTCTGGCTCGTGACCTCGCCCAATATTCGCTCTAACCTTCAGATGCGAACATTCAATA